AACAAGCAGCCTATCGGCTGAGATAGCTCTGCTGTTAGCAATGCACATTTCAATTAAAAAACTGAAGACATCATTAGAAAATGAACAATATGAATAGTATCAAAGCAATCGGAGTTTTTAACAAGAAGTCGAAAATATCACTTTTTACCAAAAATTACAAAAATATTCACCAAAATAAATTAATTAGAGAATTGAAGATATCATCACAAAATGAACAAATCTGAGAGAGGTCTACATGTAGTACCTATATATGTAATATCAAAGCATTCGGACTTACAGTTTTCAACAAGAAGTCGAAAATATCACTTTTTACCAAAAATGACAAAAATATTCACCAAAATTAGAGAACTGAAGATATCATCACAAAATGAACAAATCTGAGAAAGGTCTACATGTAGTATCTATATATGTAATATAAAAGCAATTGAACTATTGGTTTTTAACAAGAAGTCGAAAATATCACTTTTTACCAAAAATTACAAAAATATTCACCAAAATTAGAGAATTGAAGATATCATCACAAAATGAACAAATCTGAGAGAGGTCCACATGTAGTACCTATATATGTAATATCAAAGCAATCGAACTTGCGGTTTTTAACAAGAAGTCGAAAATATCACTTTTTACCAAAAATGAAAAAAATATTCATCAAAATTAGAGAATTGAAGATATCATCACGAAATGAACAAATCTGAGAGAGGTCCACATGTAGTACCTATATATGTAGTATCAAAGCAATTGGACTTGCGGTTTTTAACAAGAAGTCGAAAATATCACTTTTTACCAAAAATGACAAAAATATTCACCAAAATTAGAGAATTGAAGATATCATTACAAAATGAACAAATCTGAGAGAGGTCCACATCAGAAAAGATTAAAATAGCGCCTTAAAAAACTGCCGAAAAATCGCCCTGGGCGGTTTCTTTTTTTTTAAACCCAAACTGCCGTTTAACAACCCTGGGCGAATTTACGGCAGAATCCGGTAAATAAAATGCTATGAAAACTGGAATAACAACTTGTGAAATTTCATTTGAGCTGTCAATTTATTTACATCCGGAAGTAGCAAAAGAAACTTACTCAGATATATGAACAAATAATTCCTCAGCGTTTTCTTCAGCTTGTGTGATAAACCCATGACCTTTGTGGCGGCAAAAATATTTGACAGTTCCTTTCTTGACAGGGTTCTGTGATGCTGACTTAGAGCTACAAATATAGTAAATAAAATAAAATATTAGTGTTTGAGTCTTTCGATGCAAGTCTAGTAATTTCCTTCAAACATCTACAAACTTACAGTCACTTAACGACTTTTAAAGTGCCACTGATATACTGTAAAATGTGTATTTAAGGTAGCAGAATAGTTGTTTGGGCACTTTTCATATTTTTGTTTTTGAAAATCACATGAATAGCTCCCTAAGGCATGCTACATACATTGGTGTATTTATTTTATTGAAAAAAAAATATCTTGTACAAGTAAACTGATTTTTTTCTTGTGTGCAAACAAATGGCCAAGTTTTTGTTTATCCAGTGTACACCAAACTAGTGCATCTCATTAATATGCATGGTTTACAAACATAACTGAACTGAGGGTAAATAGTTTTAAGTTGAGCCACTTTCTTTATTTGCTATTTACAAACAACTGATAAGATATCTGTTTGTAGTTTACACACAGCTGATAAGATGTGTGCACTGCTGCCTTTCTAGACAGGAAGTACAGCAAAGATGAAACAATCGCTTTTGAACAACAACAAGCATGCCTCCCCGGGCCGACGTCTTGACATCGGATAGTGGACCAGTGTTTCACGCAAGGCAAGGGTTGACTTTTTCGTATGACTTCGGTAAAAAATAAAAGTATCATCTAAAATCTAGGTAGTTTTTATAGATGATAACAGTGAGTCCGGTTACAATTAAATTTTGAAGAGATTCATCTACAAGTATAAGACCCGAGGTTACTGCGACGGTAAAACTCTGTTTTGCGGGATTTTAATAGCACAGGAAATGCTACATGCTGGCATACACCACTGGGTCACATTTTACAATTATTCTATTCACACCAATTAAAAAACAGGGCAGCTTCCTTCATTAATGTGCAAAATATGCAAAGAAGGAGAGGGTTATCAGTAATTCTTTAGTTTAGTTGTCATTCACTAATTATGAACGAGATAGTAAGCACGCGAAAATTTCCAAGAAAAAGAAAACGAGGAAGAAAGAAGAAAAACGTCAAAAGAATGATCACTCCTGTCAAAAAAGATGTTGAAAGAGACGATGCTGGGTTCGTACAGAACGGATTTCCCCGTCGAAACCAGTGTCAGCCATGAAGTGGGCGAAGAAAGTTTTACCGTGACACTGAGAGTCTGATGAATCAGACTTCGATATAGTGGGTGATACTCCTGTTCAAAACGTTCGAGAGATGTCTGTATCTCACAGGAAAATATTGTTACCTTCCGACGTAGAAGAAAGTGAGAGTGAATGTCTCGGCCGATCGTTTGAAGACGGCGAGATTCGTCTCGTGGACATGTCACTGTTGAATGGCGCCCTAGAAAAAGAGATTTGTCAATTTTGCAAAGTAGGCAATATCTCAATAGTGGAGCACAGGCGTCACGGTCTAGGCAGTCAGTTTGAATTTCTTTGCACGCAAGCAGATTGTATTCGATCGAAACTGAGCCAGCCTAGCTTCCCGTCATCCCGAAAGAAGGGAGCAGTTTTCGAAATAAATAGAAAAGCTGCCATTGGAATGCAAGCGATTGGAAAGGGACGGCGCGCTCTGCTGAAACTGTCAAGCTATTTATTAGGGGTTACCTCAACCAGTAACGGGTCCA